AACACACAATCAATGTCCCTATTGAATTTCACCAATCACCTTTAATTAGAACTGAACGAGTTGATAATGATGAAAGTGAAGAAGAGTATGAAGAAGAAGAATATGAAGAAGAAAGTAAAGAGGAAAATAAACAAGAAGGATTATTCTATTACTCTGAAGAAATCCCAATTGAAGAAGCTCAAAAGATTAACAAGGAATTAGAAAAGCCTACTACGGAAAACTAAAATATAAAAGAATGCTTTTATCAATATAAGGAAATAGAAAAAGGAGTCTTTCATACTGGACGATTAACAACACAACAATTAAAAAGATTTAATGAATTCATGTCTCAATATGTTGACCTATTTATTTGGGAGAATGATCAGTTTGGAAGAACAAATGTCATTACACATTCTATCGACACTGGAGATGCAATGCCAATCAAGCAAAAGTTCTATCGAACCTCATACAAAAATCAAGAATTTATAAAAGAAGAAATTGATCAATTGCTAAAGTCAGGACTTATTCAACCTTCCAAAAGCCAATAGACCTCACCTGTTGTAGTAGTGAAAAAGAAAAATAGCAAGAAACGTTTATGTGTTGATTATCGTAAGCTAAACAGTGTAACTAAAAAGGATAACTATCCTTTGCCACGTATTGATGATATGTTGGAAACATTAGAAGGATCCAGATGGTTTACTTCCCTGGATTTTGCAAGTGATTTCTGGCAAGTCGAATTAGATCCTAAAGATAGAGAAAAGATCACATTCATTACCAGATTTGGTACATATGAGTTCAATGTCATGCTCTTTGGTCTTTGTAATGTTTTTGCAACATTCTAATGGTTAATGGATACCGTTCTACGTGATACTTATGGCAAAATGTAGTTGTATATATTGATGATATTAACATTAGCACAAAAACGTTTGACAAACACCTCCTGCAACTGGAACAAGTATTTTTACGTTTGCGACAAGCTGGACTAAAATTGAATCCAGAAAAGTATTTCTTCTTTGAACAGGAATTACCATTCTTTGGACATGTAATTAGCGAAGAGGGTATTCAAATAGATCTAAATAAAATAGCTGTTATGAGAAACTTTTCAGTATCAAAAGACTTAACACAACTTAGAGGATTCATTGCTTTAACATCATATTACAAAAGATTCATAAAAGGCTTTGCTAATATTGTTGAACCTTTAAATAGATTATTTAAAAAGAATACACCTTTCATTTGGACACAAGACCAACAAAATGCTTTTGAATGATTGAAAAGATATCTGACGTCTTCACCCATCCTTACATATCCAGATTTTGAGAGACCTTTCATTTTATATACTGATGCTTCTTCCTTTGCTCTAGGAGCAATTCTCTCTCAAAAGGATGACCAGAAAAGAGAACGATTAATCACATACGCAAGTAGAACTTTAAGACCTCCTGAAAGAAAATACTCTGCAACTGAAGTAGAATGCTTAGCTGTTGTATGAGCAATACAATATTATCATCATTATTTACATGGACATAAATTCATAGTAATAACCGACCATACTGCTTTGGCTTATTTAAAGAATATGAAAAATCCTGTTGGACGACTTGGATGTTGGTTAATGACTTTTAACTCTTATGATATGGAAATTATTAATCGCCCTGGAAAACTTCATTCAAACATAGATACATTAAGCCAGATACAACACTAAGGAGTTTTTTAACAAATTTACAAAAGAAAACAGATTTATTCTTGCGGACACTCTTACGGATAACAGATTTTGATTTTAACCCAACTATGGATTCGGACACATATTTTTCACTGGTACACTATTTATCAGAACTTAAAATGCCAACACATTTAAACTAACAGCAACAAGCAGCAATCAAAAGGAAGTTAAGATATTTTATTGTGATAGAAGGACAGCTTTACAAAAAGAATAAACAGGAATCTCAACGATCTTTGAAAGTTGTAAAAATTAATGAAATTAATAATATACTGTACAATTTGCACTCTGATCCTTTGGCAGGATATTTTGCATTAGAGGAAACCTACAGGAGAGTCAAAATAAGATATTATTGGCCACAGATGTATGATGATGTATGACGATATGTCCAAACTTGTGATGAATGTCAAAGGAGAGGTAAAAATAAGAGGATTAAGCTATTGCATCCTATAAAAGTTGGACAACCCTTTGATTGAGTAGGAATGGATATTGTTGGACCTTTACCCACAACGAACAAAGGAAACAAATACATAGTAGTAGCAACCGATTACTTGACTAAGTGGCCTGAAGCTAGAGCTCTTACAAACATAAAAGCAGCCTTAGTAGTTCCTTTCTTTTATGAGGATATAATTTGTAGACATGGATGCCCTAAGGAATTATTAACTGATAGAGGAACAC